TGACCGATGGCGCCAACGCCTGAATAGACCATTGATTCGGCATAAAACCAAATAATGATCCGTTCCTACGTTAGACCGCCGGTAGACCCTTGTATCTACCAATGCGCCCCTCATTCTTTCATCCACAATTATAAAATCTATCATGCTTCTATCATCACCTCTTTCCCAAGTATACATGTGAATCCTCTTGTGGCGAAAGTAAGTGTTCGTCACAAAAAGATTCTTTTCCATACATACGGTGAGGAGGCTTTCACCATTCTCGTTTATGCTTTCATCTCCAAACGTTCCCAATATCCTTTCATAACCAAGCCTCCTCACCCCAACCGTTCCATTAAAATCTCCTAGCATAATAATATTTTCATTTTCCTTACATTTCATTAACACCATCCTTACCATTTCCCAAAACTGCTCCCGGATATAAGTGGGGTTAGACATGTCTGGGGCGTAGACCTTTAGCACAAACAACTTCTTTAAGCCCACTTTCATACGTATCCATAGCAATCTTGGGCTTACACATTCATACTCTTTCACACATTGGCCCATTTTTTCTGAAAGGATGATACCTACTCCCTGGCTTGCCCGCTCGATCTCGTCTACCCCACACCAGTAGGTAGTATACATACCATGTGTAGTGACATCCTTCCCCTTCCGTTTCGTCTCATTTACACATAACACATCTATTCCTCTATCATACATCATATCGCGTACTTCATCCATTTTATCATTCAATTTCTCAACCATGTATTTAAAATTAATACTTTGCCCAGTTTTAAACGACTGTCCTGAAATAAATGTACTGCAAGTGTGTGGCAAAGTAACTTTAAAATTTGGCGCATTTAATAAAGATTCCAAAATGGTATAACACTTGCAAGACTATTTGTTAATCTAGAGAATTTTTTTTAAAGACACCCAGTTGTAAATTAATTTTTCTTACCTGTCTAAAATGGTTTTGCGTACCCCAAGGCTTTCCTCAAGCCCGTTACTTAAAATTCTAGTTTGAGTGAAACGGAGAGAACCGTTTGACGAAGTATGAGCGAGGCAGACAGTGACGTTAATGACAAAGAAGGAGAGTAAATTTTACGTAGTTTGATCGAGACAGATGGTGACGCTACCTTTTCACTGTCGCACACAAAATTAAGTTCAGCACATTGAGTTCCTTCGTTTATTGCGCATCTGTGTTTATTCGTTAGTGTTGAATTCGTACAGACCACATTTGGCTTCGTTTATTGAACTTGATTACTTGTGTTTTAGATTTGGCCTGTTTAGTTTCTCTTTAAGACGACCAAGTCTTAGTGTGACCATGTCTGCGTACACCACACAAGAATATGCTAACATGCACCTCATTTATGCGGAATACAGAGGTAACGCTAGTACTGCAGCTAGACTTTATCGTCAGACGTACCCAAATGCTGCTCATCTGGATCATCGAATTCTTTTAAATGTGCACCATTAACTTTTCTCAGAGGGTCGACTCCCAAATATAGTACATGCAGTGGCAAAGCTAGGGCTCCAAACTAGGGCAGATAGATAGGGCAGCCCAAGATATGGTTTTGTTGTTTTTAGCAGTTTTATAAAAATAGGTACACCAATCTTAATCTATCTCCACTCTTCAGTTTCATATTCAGTGCTGTCGACGACGTGCTTTGAAAAAAGCTGTTTGGGTTTGCTTGAGCGAAAGAAAAAGATATTTACATCGAATACTATACATGAACAAAGTACAAACAAACTTGTTCAAAATTAAAAAAAAATTATTTATATTCGTCATTGTATTCGTATTGTCATCCTTACTGAAACTTTTCTCAACGATTCTGTATATGACTCTGAACTGTTCCCTCCCGAGTATATTGTGCTAAGGAAGGATCGTGCAGGTAACGTCGGATGGGGTGGTGTTCTCTTAGCAGTAAAGAACAGTTTTACCGTTAAAAGAATTACGAACATAGATGGTTTAACTGATGATAAAGAATTATTATTTACTCTTTTAACGTTGGAAAATATTAAACTTTTAGTGTGTGTTGCATATATACCATCAAACTACAATGACAAGCAATATCTTGATGCATTAAATTGTATATAAAATGCCATTAACACATATTCTGACTGTAAATTCTTGATTGTTGGTGATTTCAACTTAAGGTCTTGTAATAAACCAGTTCAAACTCAGTTCCATAATTTCTTAAAATGTTGCAACTTACAGCAATGTAATAATGTTTGTAATAAATATGGATGCATCTTGGATCTGGTATTGACTAATCTAGACTCCGGAAGTTGTACTGTGTCATTTGAAGTTGAACCATTGGTACCTATTGATGTTTATCACCCTCCGTTAGACATCGTGCTTACACTACCAACAAGTGCTGCAATAAACATACCATTTCCACCATGTCAGAACCTTTGCACAGAATGGAATTTCCGTAAAGCAGACCTCTGTGGCTTGTACACTGATATAAATGACTTGAACTGGACGGACCTAATGCACCAACAGGACGTAAATGTAGCTTTAGAGATCTTATACAGGGTGGCGCAATAGAACGTGCATATTGCGTCATCTTTTTTCGCGGGGTAAACAGTGCGCGGGCGGGGGGAGCCTAGCGTAGTTGAATAGTAGCACTCATGGAGTTTTAGTAACCATGAGTCACTTCGACGGGAAGCGTCGTGCTTTTTGTGTTCGCACGTTTTACGAGAACGGTCGTTCATACATCACAAGGCGAATGTATTGTTCTGAATATGGATTAACACATATTAATGAAGCTCCAAGTGCAAATTTAATTAAAATATGGATAAAGCGTTTTGAAGAGACCGGTTCCACGTTTAAACCACCCGCAAAAGGTCGTCCAAGAACGTCTAGGACCACAGACAATATTGAGAGGGTGAAGGAGTCAGTAGGAAAAAATCCGCAAGTGTCTACTCGGAAGCGATCGGCGGCTTTAAACTTGTCGCGACGAAGTTTACAGCGAATTTTGAAGTTGGATCTTAAACTGCATCCTTATAAGCTCCAGTTAACACAGAAATTAAAAGAGGCCGACTTCGGAACAAGGCAGGCATTTGCTGAAGAAATGCTTAGTCGATTTTCCTCTTTTGACAACATCCTTTTTTCTGACGAGGCTCATTTTCATTTAAATGGGTTCGTAAACCGACAAAATTTTCGCTATTGGAACGACGAGAATCCAAATATGAAACATCAAAAACCACTGCATAGTCCGAAAGTAACGGTATGGGCAGCAATCTCAAGCAAAGGAATTATTGGCCCTTTCTTCTTTGAAGATTCACGAGGACGAAACATCACCGTTAACACCGACCGCTATGTTGCGATGTTAGAGGGATATTTGACTCCAGAACTTGCGATATCGAGAATAGCGAATACGAGGACTTGGTTCCAACAAGACGGAGCGACCTGTCACACATCAAATGACTCTATGGCGGTTGTGAGACAGATGTTTCCTGCAAGATTAATTTCCAAAAGAGGTGATATCCCTTGGCCCCCACGTAGCCCTGACTTGACGCCTCCTGACTTTTTTTTGTGGGGATACTTCAAACATAAAGTCTACATGAACAATCCGAGGAACATCAGTCAGCTAAAGGAAAATATCCGTGGGGAAATGACAGCTATCACCCCAGATTTATTGACAAGATTTTTTACAAATCTGCGTTCGCGTTTCGAGGTGTGCCGTCTTCGAGAGGGCCGTCATTTAGTTGATGTTATTTTTTAAAAATAAACTACATTTAATTACCTAATCATCCTATATTTTATTTCAACTATACCTTTTGTATTTATTTTTTTAGCCTATACTTAATAAATGCACGTTCTTTTGCGCCACCCTGTATAATAAGCTTAATAAAGTCACTAGTAGACGAGTTCCCTATAAATCCTTAACTACCAATCATAAATATATATATATATATATATATATATATATATATATATATATATATATATATCCAAAATGGTATACTAAAGAAATCATAAAATACATAAAATTGAAATATTTTAATTTAAAAATGTTGAAATGGCTTGGAATTTAATAAGGCGTTATTTAAATATTATAGAACCAAAGTAAAAAAACTTATTATTACAGCATCTATAAATTATATGATAAAAGTTGAAAATTATATAGCACGCGAACCTTCAAATTTTTGGAAATACGTGAAAGAAAAACGAAAGAATAGACAACAGAATAAGGAATTTGTGTATAATAATAGAATTTTAGAAGGGCAGCAAGCTATTAAAGCATTCGCGCAGTATTTAGATATATTTTTTGACAAACCCAGCGCAATGTATAAAAATGTATTAATATTCTTAAACAACTTTGTAAGATAGTAGAATAACATGTTTAGGTAAATAAGTTTAATTTATGATATAGTAAATAGATCTCATTATACTGTTGTGGCTGTAATTTATATTGTGTATGTAAATTTAATAATTGGTGATTTTTTTTCTTGTGTATTTTATCTTACTTTGTAAATTTAGTGTAGATATAAGCAATTTGGTTGTATATACTGTAAGCTTATATTTTATCAATAAATGAATATGAATCGTAAAAAGTTCCCATATCGCCGAATACAAATCCCCACCGCCATACTTCAATAATTCACCCGGTATAAAATCAACACCAACCGCGCGTTTATTTTGCTGTTGCTTAATGGCAAGAGCAACCTCGTTAGGCGAGACTGGCTTATCGAGCTCGAGGGCGAAAGGTTGCTGAGGTAGGCAGCGTACATGGTCTAGGTCAACAAAATGATCCACGTTAAGTAGTGTTGAAATGCTCCGCCCATCGCTCGAGTATTTCCTCCCTGCTTTGAAAAAGCGCTTCACCACTAGTTGAATTCAGTGGAACTTTTGCCATAGTGGACGTACCGAGTAGATATCGCACCTCAGCATAAAACTCACCGAGCTGGTTGGTATCAGCGAGCCACTGCATCTAACGAGCCTTCTCCTGCCACCACTTATCTTTCGCTTATCGTGCGAGTTTAGCTGTAGCTCCAGATCACTATGACGCAACTCCTTAACACTTCCACTCTGATGTTCTACTGTGCTGCTTTAGGAGCTTACGGTGTTTATCAATAGCGTCCGTAAGTACCCCATCATTATCATCAAACCAGTCCTCATGTTTTCGAACTCTCAAACCTAAAGTAGATTTAGCAGTGTCGAGAAGATGAGAAGATAGAGACTCCCAGACAGTATTGATCTCACCTGATTTTAGATCGAGGGGCTGCAGATCAGTGCTCAAGGTTTCGGCATATTTAGCCCTCGTGTTAGTATCTTGGAGTCGTTCAAGGTTCAGACGTATCTGTTTAGATCTTTCAGATCTACAAGGACGTGGAAGACGAAGACTTAATTTAATAACAACAAGCCTGTGATCAGTCCAACAGTGAGTACCACGCATGACACGGGTGACTAGGACTTGAGAGATGTCTTTTTGACGCACGATAGCATAATCGATAAGGTGCCAATGCTTCGATCTGGGGTGCATCCACGTTGCTTTGTAGTTGGCAGGTAATCTGAACATAGTATTTGTAATTGCAAGATCTAATTGTGCACAAAAACTAAGCAACAGTCGGCCGCTGCTGTTCATTTTACCAACACCATGTCTGCCCAGAACTTTAGGCCAGGCGTCATAATCTCGTCCTACTCGGGGACTAAAGTCGCCCAAGAGAAGGATTTGCTCCCTTGGACGGATACGATCTATGCACCGCGTCAATTCTTCATAAAAATTGTCCTTAATTTCATCAGACTTGTCTAGCGTAGGGGTATAGACACGGATGACATTAAGATAGTTTTCACGTCCCATGTAAAGGCGCAATGTGGTAATGCGGTCCGAGATGTGTACGGGGTATTCTTGTAGTTGAGCAGCAAGGTAGTTCTTGACAGCAAAGCCTACACCAGACCTTCGCGGCTCTGAGGAAGCGAGTCCTTTCCATAAGAAAGTATACCCGCCGCCGTATTCTACCAGCTCTCCTTCATCGGGGAGGTGTGTTTCGCTGAGTGCAGCCACATCAATATTATATCGGCTTAGTTCCCGAGCTACGATGGCAGTTTTCCGCTCAGGGCAGGCATTTTCTTCACGGTCAAGAAGTGTGCGCACATTACAAGCGCCAAATGTCATTGATTTTGATAAATTAAAATTTTCATTATTTTTTCTTTGGCGTCGACCGCGGATTTGTGATGCGGAGGCAGCCGCGGTTGCTATCATCCTAAAGAGTTGGAGTAAGCATTTGTTTAGGGCACCTTTTCTAGCCCCCTCCCCGGCTGAGCGAGGAAAGCAGTGCCTCTCTGAATAGGGCTGCTTTGTCACCTTGGGTGCTGCCGAATCCGCTCCGTCACCCCGATGCGGGACAAGAACGACGACGATTTATACTACACACCCAAGACCGCCTACGTGCAGGAGTCAGACAAAACCCAACGAACATCACGTTAAGCCTCTCTACCTCCTCCCATCGCCGTAGGACATAGACTTAGATCGGAATCCTAATTGGAAGCAGGTCAATTCCGCAGAAGATATTAACGTGCACAAGTGTACGCGCAAACACAGGTCGCCGTCGTCTTTGTCCCCCTGTACCCAGTGGAACGGAGACCGTTACGACCGGAGAGGGACTCGGACAGATGGACTACATAATAAAAAGAAAATTAGCAAAGATTTTTTTTATATGTTTCTGTTAACTATTACGACTTGACCTATCACCCGATTCCGGCTTGACGTCGACTTCTGGGAGATCCTGTATGTATAAATATAAGACAAAATAGATAGCGTCTCCAGTTCTCTACACTCACCATACGAAACACTTATTACTTTTTAAGAATTAAGCTACTATTTCATTTTGGTATTCTGTGAGAGCGCAGTCCTTCTCCGGTCAAGCTCACCCATTTGTATCACAGCCATAAACCAGCTACATCGTGACTCTACCATGCTTAATATCTAATTTTAGGTTACAAAATATTATTATAATGAAACACATTTACGATCAATTCCCACCGGCAAAGGATACAAAATCCCTTGGCAGTACAGTTAATATAATTCTTATCACAATTTATTCCTGGGTATATGCATTTCAGGCATAATGAAAAGTAAAGAAATAAAAAGTCGCATGTTTAACAAAGAACTTAAAAAACAAAAGTTGACCCTGCAGGCGCCATCCCTGAAACTTCCCGCTATGTTCGATCTCAAAACGCTCGACAAATATTTTCACGAACTAATATTTAACTCATTACATCAAAAATTTTATTAAAATAAAACCCTTTTTTATTTTGTGACAACGATAACTTTCGAACGGATCAATAGATTTTGATAAAATTGGTGGCAATCGACGAGGTATTTTAAGAACAATAATAAAATTTAATAGATCGGGGAAAATGTTTCTTCGTATTTTGTTAGTATAAAATTGAAGAAAAATCTCTTTGGTTGTACTGTTTGCATCAGGCTTGTTTTAATATCAATACATACTACTCGTGTGTTTGCTAAGAATGGGACTGAAAATGGCGTCGGCTTAATTTACCGCTCGTTTTTTTTTCACTCTGTACTTACAGCCACCGGTAGAGAAAACAATATATATATATATATATATATATATATATATATATATATATATATATATATATATATATTGCGATATGCGTTTTCGTACGTGCTATAATTTCAGTTCGACTTGTCATTGGCATAAGTGGTAACAATATGCCATAAACTAAAAAAAATATATTCCGGTTTTGCAAATTTATGAGCTAGACGAGTTCGGAGAGTTCTTTTTTATTTTTTATTTTGTCAATAATTTGTTAAGACGCTGTTATTGGTTTCGATTATTATTGTAAAGCGTTGTTAGTTATTTCGTTTTTGTTGACTATTACGTTATTTGATGTTTTTCTTTTATTATTTTATCTATGTACATTCTGTTAACAATGGAGCTTAAACGCGGGAAAGTACTACATAGTGCTACACGTTAAATTGTATATAATGCAATAAAGTATTTTGAGAAAGAGAAAAATCTGAAACTTTATCACCCATAGCAATGTAGCAAAGCAAGGGCGGATATGGCAACAGGATTGTCACTCGAATTCTTCGATCAACAATACCAACTAGATAACGAGTCACGTGCAAAATCATAGCTGAATACTGTCCACGTGAATATAAACTTAAGCAGCTACATTTGTTTACTAAAGAAATGAGACAAAAATTAAAATAGTTTTAAGTTCAACGTAATTGCAACCATCGCATCTAGAAATAAAGTCACAAATCTTACGATCATTAGTCACAAAAAAGAACAAAGCTATGCAATACTCCTATCACTTGGAAATGAAAAGACATAAATTAAATAACATTTGGTGTGAAATCAACCTTAACGTGTAAAAAATAAAGTTCCTTTCTCGTTATTACCTTGCGAGCTACATCATTTTGTTACGTTTCTGTTTTCTTCTTCGAATTTGTTCCAGGAAGTATTGAGTCGCGTTGAACACTAAAATAATTTATAATATGACCATAAGTTTAATTAAAATTATTTTTATGTTTTGGGTATTTCATTCATTGTTGGTATTCAAGGTAAGTAAGCATTTAATTAACTAATTCAATATAAATCTATTTTAGTTTTTGTATTTATATATGTTCGTAGTATGTATGTATCTATGTATAGTATTTATATATAAATATGTGCTCTTTTTTATCACACCAATTTGCCCTACTCCTGTCGTCTTCATGTAATCCTATCCATTTATTGGTTATCTAGAAGAAATTGCTGTCAGCAATAAGATCGCCCATTGCATACTTTTAAAACGTTGTAGAGCCATGGTGCAATTATAATAAGTGTAGCAATAATGGGTCGGCTCGACCGGGGAAGAAAGCTAGGAAAGCTAAAGAAAAAGCTAAGTATCTATTGGAATTACACAAACAAAGACAAAAGTAGCAATTACCATTATCTAAAGTTTTGGAAACGAATTATTAAAAATTATTACAATACAAATCTACTTCATGCGTCTATGTTCTGTTTCACAAATGTTTTCGCGTGTATTGGTCAACACTGGCAAAACATTTGTAGGGGTGATGATCGGTAATTTTGTTTCAAATATGATATTATTTGTTAGTTTAGAGCTTAAAATATAACATATTATACATGTAATTAACGAAAAGAAGACTCTCCGGCCGTTAAATTACTTTTTCGGGCATTATTCTTGCAACTTTTAAATACACTTTGTGAAACGTGTTTACATCGGCTGTGTTTTAAATGACTAAACGAAATAAGAGCTCACGTCTCATGTGCGCTCTTATTTACTTAGATGGATTTCTTGCGCCGACCCGAGATCTAGTTGGTATTGTTGATCGAAGCTCGAATTAATAAAGATAGCGAGTACCAAGTTTATCTAGTAGCAATCCGTTTGTTTATAATTAATGATTTAACAGACTATGTGTGCCATAAAATAATAAATCAAAAATATTCGTTATTTCAAACGTTAGTCCGTTCTTAGGATTTCGTACCCAAAGTGTGCGCCGTATCGTACCGTTACATCCTATTAAAGTCCACTACTGAATAAACCTCTCCCATAATTTGTCTCATATGGGGTATTTTTGCCAGAGCTACCACGCTTCGCAAGCAAGTTGGCAACCACAGTTTTTTTTTACTTTTAGTCGTCATTAAGAAGATGCCGCTGCCCATCTCTTGATTTTTTTCCCTCTGTCGCCTTTTACGACACCCACGTGGGTGATATGGTGTAGTAGATATTCTTATTTATTTAATATTCTTTATTGCACACCATATAAAAATTACTAATATATACAAAAGAAGTATGCAATGTGCGGTCTTATTGCTGATAGCAATTTCTTTCAGACAACCAGTAGATATTCCTACACCGCCACTATCCGGCGGAATGACCAACAGAAACCTATTACCGAATCCATCTGTCTCTTTGTTGCAGGGCTGTAACTTTTTAATTATTAGTTACTATAATGGTCACTTCAATGATTATATGTAAAAAATAAATGTCTATAGAGTTTCTTGCCGGTCTGTCTTATTTGAAATATTTTCTTGACTGTTATTTAAATTAATATAAGCTTAATTTAAGAAATAATATGTTTAATTTTATAGTCTTTGTGAATAATTTAATGATCTATACTTTTAAATAAAATCAATTTTATTCAAGGGTAGCCAGTGCGGATATACTTGTGTATATAATTCTATTCAAATATTTTCCCATCAATGGAAAATTACCCATTAACCGAATAATATATTTAACGTTTTAATTAACACAATAACCGTTATTAGCGGGTTTTCGTCATTTGTATTGTGCATATTGACGGTACGGGCTCGATGAGCCGCTATATATAATCCCATTCTTTATCAATACGGGCTATATAGGACATTAAGTTAAAAAAAAGTAAAAAACACTTTCCCGCCATTTTCAAGTGCTTTTCTGTTCTTCAAAATGAGTAAATGTAACGAAGAAAATCTGTACATTCTGAAGATTTATTACAAAAAATGAAAAAATGCGACTCAAACTGCGAAAACAATTTACGACCTTTATGGACCTAATGCAGTGTCAGTAGCACAAAGTTGGTTTTCAGTCCGGTAGTTTTGATGTCAAACATGCAGCTCTCGCTCTGTCGCCTTCATACGGATAAAGTCGATGCTATTTTGAAAGTGGGGCAAGATCGGCATATTAGTAGTATGACATAGTCGAAGAATTGAGTATTGACCACAAAACAGTTTTGCCCATTTGAAAAAGTCTGGCTATACAAAAAAGCTCGATATTTAGGTACCACACGAGCTCACTAAAAGAAACTTAATGAAACGTGTAATCGAATCTCTACTGCCAACAACTAATGAGACTCAAGAAAGAAATTGAAAAAAAAAAGACGGCCGGAAAAGATCAACAAAAAAGGAGTGGTCTTTCATCTTTGGCCACTCAGCAAAAATAGAGAGCTTGGTCGGGAAGTGTCAATGATCCTCATATAGTCCTGACCTTGCACCCTCAGATTGTCTATTGTTTCGGTCTCTTCAGAATTATTTGGATAGTGTTAGGTTAACATCAAGAGGGGACTTCTTCAACCTACTTGTAAGATTTCTACAGCAACGGGATTATGTCACTACCTACAAGATGGCAACAAGTTATCGAACAAATTGGCACATA